ATAGTGATTTCCTATACCCTCCCTACCTGTACATGTGTATAACCTTCGATATTATCAGCATCATCCCCCCATCCCCAGTGGTACAATTGTTACACTTAACCTGCATAATCACCTATTGTCAGAGTTTAAGAATTCACTCTTGGTGTTGGAGATTTCTATGGGTTCGAACAAACTTATAATGCTATCTAACCCCTTTATAGTACTTACATAGGGTTGTTCTACTGTCTTAAAATTCTTCCCTCCTGCCTGCTGTTCTTGACAGCCAATAATATTTTTATAGTCTTCATAATTTTTTCCTTTCCTGAATATCCTGTAGTTGAAATTCCATAGTATGTAGTCTCTTCAGTTCTTGTCTTGGTTCACTTAATAAGATACAGTTGTGTGCTGCATAGTGACATTTTGATCAGTGATAGATTGCTTTTATCTTCTGTATCTTATAAGTGGTCCCTTAAGATCATAGTGCTTCCTTTTGTCATAGTAGTCTTCATGTGTTTGTTTTTTTGTTTTTTTTTTTGTAATTCATCATAAAGTAGTCTTCATTTGTGTAAGTGTACTCTGAAGTTTGCATGAGGATGAAATGGCCTAATGGTTCATTTTCAGGACTTATGACCATTGTTACATGACATAACTGTACATAGAATAATCTGCTAGATCTGTTTCTGATGGAGGTATTGAAGTCTCCCAGTGTGACAGTAGATTCATCTGTTTATGTGTTCCTGTCAGTTTCTGCCTCAAGTACTTTGTTAAGCACCTACATGTTATTCATTGTTGTCTTCTTGAACTGACCTTTGAATCAGTATGAAAGGCCTTCCTTTTTCTCTGATCCCTTTCTGTGCTTTGAAATCTGTATCTGCCAGCTTTCTTTTGATTAGTTAGTATTGTTAAGGGTCCCGCGAACGTCGGAGGAAGAGACCACCCAAAGACCGCGGCTCATGCAACAACAAAAGGGGTTTATTGAGGATCCAATCCAGCGCGCTGGGGCTCCGTGCTCACTCAAGAAGGGAGAGCAGCCCAGAGCCCCGAGCAGGGGTTGAACAGTGCTGAAGTACACTTTTTGGGGAGGGCGGGGACTTTACATACATCACAGTCTCCTTTAACAAATCATCATACACCGCGGGAAAATCAAACAACAATTCCTAAACATGATTAGTTCATTCATTGGCGGGAACAGGTCGGGCAGGAGTGATAGGTGAGTTCTAAGGGGGGAGGTACATTCAAACTGATTGGTTTAGGCCCTGCGATGCCTACCTGCAAGGCCGCAAAGGGTCCTAGGTTATTAAACAACCAGATGGTCAGGGGAATATTTACTGGGCAGTTCCGGGTATTGTCCTAACAACTACAGGAATTTCAGGTTTTGGGGGTGTAGCATAGGAACTTAACAATACCTGGTCCTTTACTTTTTAACTCAGGCCTTGCAGCTTAGAAACTTTACAATGCCCGGTCTTTTACACTTTAACTTCAATTTCTTTTACCCTTACATTATGTATATTTTCTCTTTATTTATTTTTACTATTAATAAGTGTCTTATGTTTAAAGTATAGATAACATATATTTGGGACTTTTTTTTTTGCTCCACTCTGGCAGTCTCTTAATGGGTGCATTTATACTGTTGATGTTTAAGGTGATTATTGATATAGTTGGATTATCATTGTTATTTTTTCTTTTCTATTTGTTGCCCTTGCTTTTTGTTCCATTTTTTTGTCTTTGGTCTCTTTTGCCTTTTGTGATTTAATTGAACCTTTTATTTCATTTTCTCTTAGGTTTACTGTTTTTAAAAACTCTTGGTGTTTGCAAAATACATCCACATCGAATCCAAGTGTGCTTTATTCAGAGAACACCATACTGCTTTATTAGTAGTTGAGTACAAAATTAACCCTGAATTCTCTCTCTTGTACTTTGTATTAATGCTGTCATTCATTTCAGTTTCAGACATAGATATAAGCATATTTGTATACAATTGAAAATTATTTTGAACAATAAGAAGTGCTCTTTGTTTAGTAATTAAGAATAATGAAGAAGCATAATAAGTATTTTATCATCATTTATTCCTCTTTAATATTCTTCATTTTTGTAGAACCAAGTTTCTTATCTATATTATTTTCCTTTTCTCTAAAGAATTTAGGTCTATTGGGCAATAAATTTATAAATGAATAAATAAATAAATTTCCTCAGTGTGTGTTTAGCTGAAAAAAAAATATTTCTTCCATGATTTTGAAGGATAATTTTATAGGGTACAGAAATTTCTGGGTTAGTGTTTATTTTCTCTTAACACTTAAGTATTTTCATTTTACTCTCTTTTTTCTTAAATGATTTTTAAAATTTTTAAAATATCTTTATATTTATTTATTTATTTTTTATGTGGTGCTGAGGATCAAACCCAGGGCCACACGCTTGCCTCACTTGCCCCTCTTACATGATTTTTGAGAAGTCAGATGTAATTCTCTTTTTGCTACATGAGATGGAACCCAGAGGTGCTTAACTACTGAACTACATCTCCAGCCCTTCTTATATTTTATTTAGAGATGGCTCTCACCAAGTTACTTAGGGCCTAAGTTACTGAGGCTGGCATTGAACTTGATATCCTCCTCCTCAGCCTCCCCAGCCTCATGTGTCACTGTGCTGGTCAGATATAATTCTTATCTTTATTTGTCTGTGGATAGGTGTTACTTCCCTCTGGCTTCTTTCAGAATCAGAATTTTTAGTTTTTTCTATTGTGTGAAATTATATGTCTAGGTAAAGAAGTTCTTTTTATTTATTTAAGTAAGTAAAATTTGAAAATTGACACAATAGCTGTATTTTATTTATTATTTTTATGTGGTGCTGAGGATCGAACCCAGTGCCTCACATGTGCCAGGCAAGTGCTCTACCACTGAGCCACAACCCCAGCCTGTGGAGTTCTTTTGCTATTCATTTTGCCAGGTCTTCTCTGAGATTCTTAAATCTGTGGTTTGGTATCTGACATTAATTGGGGGCTATTCTCAGTCATTATTGTCTCCAGTTTTTTTTTTCCTTTTTCTCTCTCTTCCTTTACCTTCTGGTGTATCCATTATACACAAATTGAATCTTCTGTGTGTGACAGTCCTTGGTTATTCTGTTTAGGTTTTGGATTTGTTTGTTTGTTTTCTTTTTTGCTCCAGTCTTTGGTCTTGCTTCAGTTTTGTGGGTTGCTGTTGCTATATCCTCAAGGTCAGAGATTCTTTCTTTTTTTTTTTATTGGTTGTTCAAAATATTACAAAGCTCATGACAAACCATCTTTCATACATTTGATTCAAGTGGGTTACGAACTCCCATTTTTACCCCAAATACAAATTGCAGAATCGCATCGGTTACACATTCACATTTTTACATAATGCCATATTAGTGACTGTTGTATTCTGCTACCTTTCCTATCCCCTACTATCCCCCCTCCCCTCCCCTCCCATCTTCCCTCTCTACCTCATCTGCTGTTGTTCAATTCTCTCCCTTGTTTCCCCCCCACCCTTTCCCCTCACAACCTCTTATATGTAATTTTGTGTAACACTGAGGGTCTCCTTCCATTTCCATACAATTTCCCTTCTCTCTCCCTTTCCCTCCCAGAGATTCTTTCTTTAACTATGTCCCATCTACTAATCAGCCTATCAAAGACATTCTTCTTTTCTATTTTTATCTTAGACTTCCCTCTCTCTCTGCTTTACATTGCCCTCTGTTCTTACATGCTTTAGAGCCCTTGGTATGTTAATCATAGTAGTTTCCACTTCCTAGTCCAGTATTTCCAATAGCTTTGCCATGTTTGGTTCCAATACTTGCTTTGTCCTTTCACATTTTATTTTGGCCTTTTAGTATGCTTTGTAATTTTTTTCTTATTGCCTTTCATTGGTATACTTGGTAAAAGGAACTGGTGTAAATAGGGTTTTTTTTTTTTATTGGCGGGGGGAGTGGGTACCGAGGATTGAACTCGGGGGTACTCAACCACTGAGCCACATCCCCAGCCCTGTTTTGTGTTTTATTTAGAGACAGGGTCTCACTGAGTTGCTTAGCACCTTGCTGTTGCTGAGGCTGGCTTTGAACTCTTCATCCTCTTGCCTCAGCCTTCCTAGCTGCTAGGATTTCAGGTGTGTGCCATTGCACCCAGCTGTAAATAGGTTTTTAGTAATGTGGCGGTAAGGGTCTAGAAGGGAGTGTTTTGTAGTCCTATTTTTATGTCTCAGTCTCTTAATGTGTTTGTGCCTTTGGTCTCTGAACTTCACAATGGATTCTATGCCCCTTCTTACCTACTTTAGGTTAGATTGATAATAAAGTGGACGGAAATTGGGTCTATGATGTAGAAGGATAGAGATGGCTAGAGTTTAGAATTTCTCTTTATCCATGTCATTTAAGGTCTGATAAAATTCTAGCAGATTTAGATCTTGTTAAATAGTTTCTTTCAAGGATAGTTCTTGTTAAGAATGCAGTACTTTACTGAATTTCAAAATGGTTCTTTGACTGAAGGACAAGGAGATTTTTCTCTAAAATTTTATTTTGAGAACCTAGATGAGCCACTGAAGTTAAAACTCATCAAAATATGTGTCCCTGTGATGGCAGTTACCTGTAATTTTTAACAATTCACTTGTTCTTTCTGACCCTCCAGTAGCTTCATCAGTTATGGTTCAGGTTTTCTTGTCCTGACATTGTTTCCTGCTGAAGTTTTAGTTTTGCATTCCAGTAAACTAAGACTACCTGTATTCACTTTTGGTCTCTGTGGACTTAGTGGTAGCAAGTTCTCCTATGTTCTCACTTCTCTGAAGATGACTTGTTGATATTGTGTCTTTTCAGCTTTTCACTTATTGTTAGGTTGGAGTGGTTTCTTTCAGTGGAATTAAGAACTGAAGTCTGTTTATTTCAATACATAAATTCTAATACTTTTTTCCTATAGATATCACCTCATTAGTGATATAAATTTTGTACTATCAGGTAAGTGAAAGATATTTTGTATATACTTTATGTACAGTTTGCTTATATTTCTTTTTTTGCTTTCTTTTTAGGTTAATACAATCTGTTGGAATGACACTGGAGAATATATATTATCTGGCTCAGATGACACCAAGTTAGTAATTAGTAATCCTTACAGCAGAAAGGTAAAGTAGTTAAAAAAAAATACTCTGGTTTGCCAAAATTAATGATAAAATTTAGAAGTTATTACATGTAGCTTCCTTAGTTCCCTTGGGGGCTGTGTGAGACTTTAATCAGCCTTACACTCTAGAAAACTTAAATATGCTTCATTTTATTCAAATGCATAATAGTTGTCCAAGTGACATTATCCTAGTAACATTGTTAGGCATAAAGACAATGACCCCCTTTTTTTTTTTTTTTTTAAACCTTTAGCATAAAGGTGTCTCAGTAAATGAATTTCCTTACCATTGTCATTTATTTATAGCATATTAGAAATAACTTTAAATTTTTACTGTTTGTAAAGCAAGGGTATCTCCAAATTGGGTGCTTTTTTTGTTTTATAAATATTTTCGGATATAAATATTCACAGTAGAACTAATAATGCACATTAGTGAAGTTAGATTACTATTTTTCCAAAAGAATTGGAGTTTTAAATCTCAGTAATCCTTACTCATACTTACGGACATTCTGTATATAGCAATTTCAATTTTATAAACATGTTCAAGTATGCTGATTTTAATATTTATAAGGAATAGTAAAAGTGTTCGATTTTAAAATTTATTTAAAATTTCTATAGATAATGAAAAAAATTTCTATTCTGTCACCTAGAATGAGCTTATCTCAACTGGCATAGTTAGTTTGTTTACTTTCACTATTAATTTTTATTTTAAGGAAAGATTACTTTTAAAAGTAAAGGTTTTACTGTGCAGACTTTAGGCTGTTATGTGAAACAGGCCACTACTAGTTTCATTCTTTTGTTCCCTAAAATATTATGAACTATATTTTTATTGTACTGTTACATTTCCTTAGAACACAAAGTTGCTATTCTCTGCCCAGCAATGTGCTAGGTAAAATGATATAAAGTATAATTTGTAGGCATACAGTGCTCTTTATTTATTTTGATCTTGTTCTTGTGGATTTTGAAAAGTGTCCAGTTTGTTGTTAATAGCAAATGGTTAAATATTAGCAATATAGTCTGATAAATACTGTAGTATTATGTAGTTCAAGGTAAAATTGGAAATGATATTGAGGACACAAAGCTAGATGTGCTCTACTTGTACAAAAAGGATTTCTTAAAGGAGAAGGTTTTTCTATCATGTTTGTAACAGTTTGCCTTATTCATTTGGGGAGTTTTTAATTGCTACTCCAGACAAAGCATTCAGTTGCATAACTCTTCTGGTTATAAGCCATATAAGAAGTGTTTTCATGTACACAGAACACATTTATAAAGATCCCTTAACTATTTTACAATGTGCTATGTATAAAATATGAATTGAGAAAATTAGTTTTATGTGTTACTTTAGTATAATATTTTAACATTTTAAAGTTTGGGTATTTTAATGTTTAGAATAGTGTGAACAAAGTTGCCAACTTAGTCATTGTTTCATTACTTTTAGTTGAAATTTAATCTTTTAAAAATTTAGTAGTATTTAAAACTTTTTAGATACTAGTCAACTCACTGTCATGTGACTAATTCTCAGATACCTTATTTTAATTACTACTACTACTTAAGAATGTTCAACTTGCTTAAAACACAAAAACATCGAAAGATAGTATACCATGATCAAGTGGGGTTCATCCCAGAGATGCAGGGTTGGATCAACATGCAGAAATCAATTCGTGTAATTCATCACATCAGTAGACTTAAAAGATAAGAACCATATGATCATCTCAGTAGATACAGAAAAAGCATTTGACAAAACACAGCACCCTTTCATGTTCAAAACACTAGGAAAATTAGGGATAACGGGAACATATCTCAACATCGTAAAAGAAAGCTATGCTAAGCCCCAGGCCAACATCATTCTAAACAGAGAAAAATTGAAAGCATTTCCTCTAAAAACTGGAATAAGATAGGTATGCCCTCTTTCACCACTTCTATCTAACATAGTTCTTGAAACACTGGCCAGAGCAATTAGACGAAAGAAATTCAAGGCATATGGATAGGTAAAGAAGAACTCAAATTAGCGCCATTTGCTGACAATATGATTCTATACCTAGAAGACCCAAAAAATTCCACCAGAAAACTTCTAGAACTAGTAAATGAATTCAGCAAAGTAGCAGGATACAAAATCAACACCCATAAATCAAATGAATTTCTGTATATTAGTGACAAATCCTCTGAAAAAGAAACAAGGAAAACTACCCTATTTACAATAGCCTTAAAAAAGTAAAATAGTTGGCAATCAACAAAAGAGGTGAAAGACCTCTACAATGAAAACTACAGAACGCTAAAGAAAGAAATTAAAGAAGACCGTAGAATATGGAAAGATCTCCCTTGTTCTTTTATAAGGCAGAATTAATATTGTCAAAATGACCACACTACAAAAAGCACTATGCAGATTTAATGCAATTCCAATCAAAATTCGAATGACATTCCTCATAGAAATAGAAAAGGCAGTCATGAAATTCTTCTGGAAAAGAGACCCAGGATAGCTAAAGCAATCCTTAGCAAGAAGAATGAAGCATCATGATACCAGACCTTAATCTATACTACAGGGTAATAGTAAAAAAAAAAAAAAAAACAGCATAGTATTGGTACCAAAATAGACTTGTAGACCAATGTACAGAATAGAGGACACAGAGACTAACCCACATAATATAATTATAGTTATCTTATATTAGACAAAGTTGCCAAAAATGTACATTGGAGAAAAGATAGCCTCTTCAACAAATGGTGCTGGGAAAATTGGAAATCTGTGTGCAACAAAATGAAATTAAACCTCTCTCTTTCATCATGCACAAAACTCAACTCAACGTGGATCAAGGACCTAGGAATTAAACCAGAGACACTGTGTCTATTAGAAGAAAAAGTAGGTCCAAATCTCCATCATGTGGGATTAGGCCCCAACTTCTTTTATAAGACTCATAGCGCAAGAATTAATAACAAGAATCGATAAATGGGATAGATTCAAACTAAAAAGCTTCTTCGCAAAAGAAACAATCTGTGAGGTGAATAGAGAGCCTACTATTTGGGAACAAATTCTTACCACATGCTCGTCAAAGCACTATCTCTAGAATATGTAAAGAACTAAAAAATCTTAACACCTAAAAAAGAAATAACCCAATCAATAAATGGGTCAAGGAACTGAACAGACACTTCTCAGAAGAAGATACACAATCAATCAAATATATGAAAAAATGTTCAATATCTCTAGCAATTAGAGAAATGCAAATCAAAACTACTCTAGGATTTCATCTCACTCCAGTCAGAATGGCAGGTATTAAGGATACAAACAATAATAAGTGCTGGCGAGGATGGTGGGGAAAAGGCCCACTCATACACTGCTGGTGGGATTGCAAAATAGTGCAGCCAGTATGGAAAGCAGTATGGAGATTTCTTGGAAAACTGGGAATGGAACCACTGTTTGACCCAGCTATGTCCCCAAAGGACTTCAAAACAGCATACTACAGGGACACAGCACAATTCACAACAGCTAAACTGTGGAACCAACCTAGATGCCCTTCAGTAGATGAATGGATAAAGAAAATGTGATATATATACACAATGGAATATTATTCAGCATTGAAAGAGAATAAAATCATGGCATTTGCAGGCAAATGGATGGAGCTGGAGAATATAATGCTAAGTGAAATTAGCCAATCCCAAAAAATCAAATGCCGAATGGTTTCTCTGGCTTAAGGATGCTGATTCATAATATGCTGCATAGGGGGTGATGGGAAGATTAAATGAACTCTAGATAGGGCAAAGGGGAAAGGGGAGGGAGGGGAAGGGAGAGGGCAGAGGAGTAGGAAAGATGGTGGAATGCGATGGTCATCGTGACCCTAAGTACATATATGAGGACATGAAGGATGTGACTCTACTTTGTGTACAACCAGAGATATGTAAAATTGTGCTCTATATGTGTAATATGAATTATAATGTGTTCTCTTGTCATATATATCATTAAAATAACAAAAGAATGTTCAATTTTCAAGAATAAGAAAACGTAACTACTGAATGATAAAGATAAACAGCTGACTGGTTTTAGTAAAAAGCATTTGTGTGACATTTTTTAGACTCATGTACCATTTACAAAGGGAAATCAATTTTATTCGTGGCTAAACAGTTATTTTTTTAATTTTAATAATTTTAAAAAATTTATGTATGACAGTGGAAAGCATTACACATGTAGAACATAATTTTTCATATTTCTGGTTGTATATAAAGTATGTTCACACCAATTTGTGTCTTCATACATGTACTTTAGATAATAATGTCCATCACATTCCACCATCATTTCTAATCCCATGCCCCCTCCGTCCCTTCCTACTTCTCTTCCCTATCTAGAGTTTGTCTGTTCGCCCATGCTACCCCTCCTTACCCCACTATGAATCAGCCTCCTTATAAACATTTGGCATTTGTTTTTATGGGATTGGCTAACTTCACTTAGTATTATCTTCTCTAACTCCATCCATTTACCTGCAAATGCCATGATTTTATTCTCTTTTATTGATGAGTAATATTTCATTGTGTATATATATGCCACATTTTTCTTATCCATTCATCTATAAATAGTTATTTTAAAAGTTTGTAAGATCTTCAACATTTAGAACCATTTAAAGTTCTGGTTAAGAATAGGAATATAGTTGTCCCATGCGAAATTCGTTCCAGGATCTCTGTGCATATCAAAATCTGTGGATGCTCAATTCTCTTATGTAATGTAATGGATAGTATTTGCATATAATTCCACACACATGTTCCCATGTACTTTTAAGTCATTTCTAGGTTACTTATAATACCTAATAAATACAAAAGTTATGTAAATTGTTCTTGTACTATATGTTGCTTAGAGAATAATGATGAAATCAGTACATGATTAGTGTAGAGACAAAACTTTTTTTGGTCTGTGGTTGGTTGTGTCTGCAAATGTGGAACCATGGATAGGAATTGCTGACTGTATATTTCCCAGCTGCCTCTCAGCTCTTTGTTATTTTGTTTTTGTTTTGGGGGGTCATTTTTATTACATTTCCAATGTCATATCTTTTTGTTGTTGTTGTTAGTTTTTTTGTTTGTTTTTTTGGTGCTGGGGCTTGAACCCAGGGCCTTGTGCATGCAAGGCAAGCACTCTACCAACTGAGCTATAGCCCCAGCCCCCAATGCCATATCTTTTTTAACATCTATTCTTTTTAATAATTCTGAAAATGTATCTCTCTTTATTTCTTTTTTCAATAGTAGCAACTAAAATGACTGGTGGTAGCAGTTGTAGACCCAGAACAATCACATAGTAATTTCAACAGGGAAACTTTAATATGAAGAATTATTACCAATAAAACGGGATCAGAATAATAAGGGCTTGTCTATTAAAATGTTTAAAAGACTTGAAAATATTACAGAAATAACAGATATAGTGAGCCACTGCTGAGATAAACTATTTAAAGAAATGCCCCCTCTCTCTAATGCTGACATCTGGACCTTTGTTGGAAAGGGCATGATATGGCTCATTGGGTGGCAGAGCAGTTGCTGTAATGCTATGCTAGTGGAACTAGGGGGCGTTCCCTTGGAACTTGTTGGAATACCTCCTCTAGGGCACTGTCCTACAGCCTGTCTCAGGACTTGGGGAGATGGTATTGCAGGAGACGCAGGTGACTGCTAGGTACTGCAGAGTTCATGTAGGAGCTTGTCATAGCTGACCACCTTGCAGCTCTCCACACTGTCTCGGGCACTGTGGAACCTGTGCATGTCTCAGAGCCGGCTCAGGGGAGGACATCAGGAAAGGAAAGGAACTCTTCTCCCTTCCAGAGCTTCCTGTTATCAGAGCTTACAATACGCCAACTTACAAAGGAAACACACTTAACTGGGCCAGATCCACTGTGTAGTCTGTAGAAATAAAAGGTAAATTTGGAGTTGAGAGGCAGTAATTTGATACGTGGCACAGTAGTTGTACTGGTGTGTCTTTTTTGGTACTACTTCAGCATGAGCTTTATTTCATTTATATTTAGGTCTCTGAATGAAGAAGAGTTCCATGGTAATTTTTAATTGCATTATTATTAGTATAATGGTATATGTAGGCTTGTGTTAGTTTTCTATCACTCGTGCCAAGTTATTTAAGTTTTCCAAACCATTTTCCTTTTACATAAATTAAGAATCACAATTTCATGTCTAAAATCTTTTCTAAGATAAATATTTTATATTTCTGTTGCTCTCTGCCTTGTGAAAAATTTTTGTTTATTTATTTAGGTTAGATAGTGGTACATGAACAGGCCTGGCTGGCTGTTCTAGCTGGATCTTGCAAGGTACTTCGAAATTTGCTTATAGGTTCACAGAACCTATTCATCAGCCGAGTAGTTTAAGAAATGATTTTATCAGTTTATAGTGACTAGATTATAATCTGGTTAAATAAACTATGACATCACACTGAGTTTTAATTATAATCATGTTTTGATTTTTATTGGTGCTTAGTTCTTGAGTTCACATAAAGAGGATATATACAACTTTCTGTATTGGTGAAAATGTTTAATACCACCAGTTTTACAGACTATAATATATGAGTGACTTACAGGAAGTTAGCTACTTGAAAACCTTAGTTATGGCCGTATGAGTGACTTACACGTAGCTACTACTGTAAACCACCCTAATGTGTCAACAGGGTTAAAGACTGTGGTATCTATCTTATTTCAAGGACTTCACATTAATTTTTCTATTTATTTCATGACATCAATGGCAGGTTAGTTCTTTTATAGTATCTTTCTCAATTTGGATTTTTCTGGTTGATCTTCATGAGTAGATTCAGAGTAAATATTTTTGTTGAGAATCCCCCACAGGTGGTATGGGATATTGGCTTGACCTCTTATTGGTGATGTTAGATTTGATCCCTCCATTGGGTTACCCTTTGAAACTAATAGCTATCCTGTGAGATGGTTTATTGAAACTGTGTGAATATTCTTTCCCAGGCCTTTCATTTGGCAGTTTTCATTTGATGACTCCTATCTGAATCAATTTTTATGAAAGAGCAGTTTTAAAAATTGTCATTCCTTCTATTTATTTATTTAATTAGGAAGGGAATTGAACCCTGGGCCTCATACATGATAGACAAAACACTATCACTTAACTATACTCCCAAGCATGGCCTTCTACATTTATTAGTTTATATTTGTGTTGGTCAGCTTTCTGCCATTGTGAGCGATTACTTGAGATAACCAACTTATATAAAGAAAAGGTTTATTTTGTCTTACAGTTTTGGAGATTTCTTTTCATGGTTGTTTGGACCTCTGGTGAGCATGTGGAAGAGCAAGGCCTCTTTCTTAACTTCATAACCAAGAAGTTGAGAAGAGGAATTACAGACCAGGGTCTACAATAGTCTTTAAGAGACAAGCTGTCAGGGAACTGAGGACCTCCAGAAGGCCCACCTGTGGAAGGTGCTACCATTTCCCAGTAGCTCCACTCTCACACATGGGCCTTTGGAAGACATCAGAGTTCAACCTAGAGCAACATTCTGTAAATACAACATTTTTGTCCCTGTCACCTTTAAAAAAAAAAAAGCAACTATGGACTTAACAGATTTTAATTTTTTTCAATGTGTTGTGATTTATCAATGTTTTTTTTTTTTTTTTTTTTGCGGGGGTGGGGGATGCTCAAATTATCACAAATTTATTCCATGGGACAAAACCAAGCTCTGTTGTTTTGTTTTCCCCAGTTTTTTCACAGTCACAGCAGATGCTCCTGTTTACCTTGTATACATCATTGTCTACCCATTGTGGAAATATGCCTGTTTATTCAACTAGTTTCTTGTTTTTTCTATTGAAAATAAAATTCAATAAGTAACTCTTTGTGAGTGTGTGTGTGTGTGTGTGTGTGTGTGTGATATTGTTTGAGGTACACTTTGTGCTTTGAGTTTCCTAATTTCTCCCCACTGGGGGTGTACCATTTAGCACCCCACTAGCCATGGTTAAGAACCTGTTTTCCACAGGCTCACTTGTCAAGCTTTTGAATTTTTGCCAAGTTCTGTTAAGAGAGAATTAGTATCTTTGTGTAATATTAATTTGCATTTCTCTTACGAAAAAGGAATATTTTTCTGTATTTTTTTAAGGGTTATTTGTATATCTGCAGATTTTCGATTTAGATCTTTTGCCCATCTTTGAGGGGAAAAAAAAATCAGGTCTTGTTGGTTATTTTTCCTTCCAAATTTTACTGCTAGGGGAATTTTTCCTTTATTTGCAGTGTATGTTAAATATATTAAAATTTTAAACTTTATGTCTGTTACAGTAATTTTGGTCTTCATAATATAAGTAAGTTATTGGAACTTCTCCTATAGCCTCATCTGTACCATTTTGTTACTTTGACAATGAGTGATTTAAATTCAGTTTGTTTATCCTAAAAGGGAATAACTTAATCATCCAGCATCCCGTCAATATCAAAAGTCAGTCCAAATAGTTCTTTCATAGTAGTTTTATGATTGAGTGAAATAAACCATGTAAGTGGAAAATGCACATTTGCTTTTCATGGCACTGTTCACATTGATGATAGGCAGTCTTCCCATCTCGGAAAAATATGTGAGATTCTGATTCTAATTATGATAGTTGGGAATTAAAGGATAATCTTTTGTTGAGATGAGAATGTTAATGAGAATTTATTACTTGTGATTATATTAAATATGAATTTCTTCCTAGGAAAAATTAATTACAACTACTTTCTCTGTGTGTTTTAGGTTTTGACGACAATTCGTTCAGGGCATCGAGCAAATATATTTAGTGCAAAGTTCTTACCATGCACAAATGATAAGCAGATTGTATCCTGTTCTGGAGATGGAGTAATATTTTATACAAATGTTGAGCAAGATGCAGAAACCAACAGACAGTGCCAGTTTACATGCCATTATGGAACTACATATGAGGTACAGTGTTAGGATATCCATTCTATCTGTGGAAATGTTATGTTTTTGAATAAGAATGTGAGATGTGTGTGCATGTATATACACATAGATGTGTATATATAGGTACATATTCATGATAGATTAGAATTCAGCAAGCATTTGAGAAAATTTATCTTGATAGACTTGTGGATAAAGTTAAGAAATAAGATGCACGTAATACTCTTATGAGATGGTTTGTAATTGCTTGAGCAAACATACTTTAAGGAAACAGATGCCAGCACTTTAAGGTTGCCTCTGTTACTGCGCTACATGGCTCTGCATTAGGTTTTAACCTCTCAAATACTTTTATCATGTGCTTTTGTAAAGTCATTAGTAGCAAACTTACTGTGTACATTTGTTTCTGTTGCTAATAACACTGGGTAGATAATAAAGAAAAGAATTTTACTTGACTGATGGGTGTATATTTGGAGGTGCTGCCTTTCTGGCAGAGTCCTGAGGCACTGCCTTTCTGGCAGAGTCCTGAGGCACTGCAGGTTATCATATGGCAGTAGACAGGGAACACCTGCATACACATATGTGCATGGGTATTGTGGTCTTATAAAACCACCAGCACTCAATCGGGGTTGCATCTTAATGGCCTGATCTAATCCCATTTATACCTCTTCAATACCTCTACCTCTAACAGTCATGGTTGGAACTAAATTTCTACCCTCTTACTACTCAGAATGGGGATTAAATTCAAACACATGAAATCCTGGAATTCAGAGAACTATATATCAAGATCGTAGCATTTATCAAATTTTCACATTAGAAGAAATACTAGTAGGCCAAAAAAGAAAAAAAAAAGAGGGAGAGATTTGTGGAATATCTATTTATAAACTCAAACCTTGAGCTGAACTGAATGAGGTAGAGTGATTTATGACTCAGTTTATACTTCTTAATTTAGTTCAGAAATATCACTCACAGCACCTAGTGCACTTTTAAAATGTTTGCTTCTGATTTCTTTATATCAAAAACAATTAACCTGTTAATTGTTTTCCATCATTTGAATTTCAGTTCTTTTATATTATGTTTTGGTGTCTGCTTATATCAATAACAGGGAACTGGGTATTGTTTTTTACCCATTCTCAAAATTTTGACCCATCTTTGGAAATTTTAGTCAACTTAAAATTATGGTGAATACTGATACATTTGGGTCTATTTATGTGTCTTATTGTTTGGGTTTTGTTTTGTTTTTGTGGGGCTGGGACTTGAACACAGGGCCTTGCATGTTCTGGGCAAGTACTCTACCACTGAGCCACACCCCTACTCTGTGTGTGTTTTCCAGTTTTCCTCTATTGATGGCATCTCCTTTTTTCATCCACTTTTCAAAGTGCTTGGAGGTCTTTCCTTTTGTCTGTTTTGTTCTGCTACTTGCTTAGAAGGTGGACATGCGTGTCTTTTATTCTGGAGGTTGCCTCGTTTGGTTTCACAGGAATATTTGACAAAGCCTAAAGTCAGTATCTTCATACTTTCTCCTAAATGAAGGACTGTAAAATAGCTCTTATTTAATTTTAAATAATTATGTTGTTCAGAACTTGGTTATATTCTGTTCTCTTTCATGAAGTAGACAGTATCATTGTTCACTAGTCAGTGTTTAGGTTTACCTTTGTATTTACAAGATAAATACCTTTGACTCATCATTCCTGATCTTTTTGTTCTTTAAAGTAAACCATTTGGCAGTACCTTTACTGGTACTTTTTTGATAAAAAATGATTTTAATTTCCTTTTCTTTTCTGTTATTTGTTGGAAAATGTCCTCTTTCTCCTCCTCACCCCCAATACCAGCTCTTGAAAGGCAGCTTTTCCAAGTACAGCCTTTGTTTGATGTTATTCTGTTCCAGGTGATAGCCTTAGTGTTCTGAGTTTCATTGTTTGAGGTCACAAAGTTAGCTTTCAGTCCTTTATAGGTGTTCGTTCTCTCTCTCTCTCTCTTATTTTTTTAAGAATTTTCAGTTCTTTTTTTTTTGGGCTAGTTCTTTTGTATGTCACAACAATGTATCTTAGTATGGAATTTTCCCCCCATACTAGGGATTTATTGATGTTCTCATGTCATATTGTAGTCAATAATAAGTCTTTGGTCATTACTTCTTCATTATTTTATTTACTTTGTGCTGGAATTTTGATTAGCTGTATATTAGATCTTCTTCTATTCATTGTTCTGAATTTTTGAAATTGAGGGGCTGTGGTTGTAGCTCAGTGGTAGAGGGCTTGCCTAGCATGTGTGAGGCACTGGGTTTGATTCTCAGCACCACATAAAAATGAATAAAAAAACTAAAGGTATAAAAAATGTTGTATCTGTTTATTAAAAAAAACACATTGAGAAAAGGCACATAAATCCTAAATATAGGGGGCTGGAGTTGTGGCTCAGTGGTAGAGCACTTGCCTAGCATGTGTGAAGCACTGGGTTTGACTCTCAGCACTGCATAGAAATAAATTTAAAAAAGGTCCATCAACACCTAAAAAAATATTTAAAAAAATTTTTTTTGTAGTTATGTATGGACAAAATACCTTTGTTAATTTTTATGCAGTACTAACGATTGAACTCTTCACACATGCTAGGCAAGTGCTCTGCCACTGAGCCACAGCCCCAGCCCTAAAAAAAAAGAAAATTAAAAAAAAAAATCGAAATGTATTGCTCAGTGAATTTGAATTATCACAAAACAAATCTGTTCATGTAACTGTCACCTAGAACTGTAGAACATGTAGCATGCCAGAAGCCCCCTCATCCTGACCTCTAAACCTCTAAATTTTTAAGTTTTAACACACCTTTGTTTTTCTGTTTTTGATCTTTATAGAAATAAAAACAGGATGGTTTTTTCTTTCTTTCATTTTCTTTTTTTTTTTTTTTTTTGGCCTTTTTCCTTTTTCTCTTGGTGCATGGGATTGAACTTGAGTATCATGCATGTTAGGCAGACATTCTGCCACTGAGCCGCATCCCATTTCTGGCTCTGTTGTTTAAAAAACTGTTATTTTTGTGTCCGGCTTCTTTCACAAAGCTTTGAGATTCATCCTTGTTGATGATGATAGTGATGATTTGTTTTTTTAGTTTTTGGGTTTTTTTTTTTTTAATGGTGCTAGGGATTGAACCCAGTGTCTTGTGCATGCAAGGCAAGCAATCTACCAACTGAGCTATATCCCCAGCCCAGATTTGTTCATTTTTATTGCTTATGTAGTATTTTATTTTAGAAGTAGATTATAGTTACTGTTCCCATTCTGTTGTTGGATAATTCAGTTTGTTTCAATCATTTGAGTAATTTGAACAGTGTTACTATGAACATTCTAGTGCATATCTTTAAGTGGCTCTGTGCAGACGTTTATTTTTAGTGGAATTGCTAGGTTACAGGAGAGGCATATGAACAACCTTTAATTGATATTGACATATGGTTTTCCATTCTGTGTGTGTGTGTGTGTGTATTTATTTCTGTACCCTTTGTGTCTGAACCCTTTTGTACTTCCATTAACAGTGTTTATTTTTCCAGTTTCTCCATATACACATCAATACTGAGTATTATCTGTCTCTTTCATTTTGGCTGTACTGGTGGTATGTTGTAGTATTTCCAGGTGGTGCTAATTTGTATTTTTGATGCATGAATGAGTTTAACACTTTTTTGTGTACACAGTGTTTAAAAACAGAAAAATATCTTCCATGTATGGGAATGCTAAATACCCAAGATTGATAGTATGTATTTCTAGATATGGAGGGAAAGGGGAATTTTCTGCTAGACTTCACAGAGGACATTAACTTACATTATTGTCATAGCTAAGTTAGAAGTGGTTACAGGAACATCTAAATTATTCTTAACTTTTTGAAAATGTTTTTATTGTAGTGAAATACATATAATATAAAATTCTTCATGGTAGCCATATTTTGTGTATAGTACAGTGCCATTAATGTTGTTGTGTAACTGTCACACTATGTAAGATTCTTTTTGAGAGTTCAGTTTATCAGCGTTAATCATTTCAGCATTCCCCAGTAATTTTTTTAGCATCAGAGAGAACATTTATCATATACTTATAATATAATGATAATTTTATTAGAAAAAGACATAAAAATTAGTTTTGGAATTGTTTGAACTAGTTAGCTAGTGGAGAATCTTTGAAGCTGGAGATTATTATCAAAGTTGATAAAAGCTTATAATATTAACTTTCTGTCTAAAGTGTATTATTCTGATTCATGGTGTAGGTAAGTCATAATTAGTTAAAATGAATGAATTTTAACTTAATGCTTTTAACTTAATTGTTTCATGAAATAATAGCAGTATGTTTTGAAGCCACCTGTTTCAATGTTCAATAAGGTTTTCTGTACTTCCATTTCTGTCTTCAGATCATGACTGTACCCAATGACCCTTACACTTTCCTGTCTTGTGGTGAAGACGGAACTGTTAGGTGGTTTGACACACGCATCAAAACTAGCTGCACAAAAGAAGATTGCAAAGATGTAAGAATCCAGTTTTTGTAGAAATGATGAAGAAAAGTTATGGTTATAATTACATTTGCACAATAATTTATCTTTGGGTGATTCAGGGTGAACTTTCAAACATTTCTCTAACATCTTCAATCATAAAATTTCTTAAATAAGGTATTTTTAATGAAGTTGAAGAACTTATATTTTAACTGCATATTTTTTAAGTATATCTGTTAACTGGACTTTGTGGGGCATGCCTGTAATCCCAGTGGCTCAGGAGGCTGATGCAGTAGGATTGCAGGTCCAAAGCCACCTTCAGAAATTTAGCAAGGCCCTAGGTAACTTAGCAAGCCCTACCACAAAATAAGAAATAAAAAGGGCTGGAAATGTTGCTCAGTGGTTAAGCACCCCTGGGTTCATCCCTGGTGTGTGTGTGTGTGTGTGTGTGACAATTTGTATAATTATTTAGCATATACTCTAGTATTGAAACTTGGAGAATTTGTCAATATCTCTGATTTACTCATGTAGACCATTTTGGTTAATCAAAATACCAGTGATAAAAGCTTATGTAAGTTCAGTATTTTCCCTCCACCCCCCAATCTTTTAAAACAAGAATTATGTTATTTTTTTTTTATTATTTTATTTTTTAATTTTTTATTGTGGGTTGTTCAAAACATTACAAATTTCTTGACATATCATATTCCACACTTTGATTCAAGTGGGTTATGAACTCCCACCTTCACCCCATACACAGATTGCAGAATCACATCAGTTACACATCCATTGATTTACAAATTGCCATACTAGTGTCTGTTGTGCTCCGCTGCCTTTCCCATCCTCCACCCTTATGTTATTTTTTTGAAAGAAAAAAGTCTGTCAACATGTTCATTCAAATTTAGCTCACTTCTCTAAAAGATATAGCATTATTTTCAATATTTGACTTTTTAGTACTATTTTAAACTTATATAAGCTCTGAGAAGTCATTCAGTCTTTTGGCCCACACTGTTAACTCCAAGTGTTGTTATTTGTCAAGCATTAGTTAGAGCACTATAGCTTTTTCTTGGATTTTTTTCCCCCCTCCTTCCAATACTGGGAATTTAATCCTGGGCCTTGTTCATGCTAGCCAAGTACTTACTCTACCACTGAACCGCATCCCTAGCCGTTGATTGTTTTGAAGAAGTAAATGAAAATAAAAAGTGTTACGCAGTTTCTGTTTACTGAAAGTTAACAAAAACAAGAATACTAGTAATACAATTAAGTGTTGCTAACTGAACAAGTTACCGTAGTTAATATGGTTTAGGAATGAAAAGATTGTTAATGTATTTGAAAAATATAATAGAAAACAAGAAGTAGAAATTGAAAAAATCTTAAATATACAAATTTTAATCAGTTTTGGTTTCATATATGCATGTGTGTATTTTTGCATAAACATACATAAGCAAATAGGAACTGGAGGCAGAATTCAGCTTAAGATATCAGACTGTGGGAGCATTTGCAATACCTGTTTCTTAAAAATGTGCTTGATACTAAAATCTATTATTTCAAGTTCTTTTAAACTTTATTATAGGAGGATTTAGTTGTGCTTTTCTAAACCAAATTTTCATGAAATAGAATAACCAGAGGAATTAACTACTAACAACTTAGAATTAGGAAAGGCACTGGTAAATCTCTTCTGGGTAATAATATTTTGAGGTTAATAAGCAAAGTTTAAGGTAAATTAACAAAGTGTGGCTATCCTGAATAGAGTAAAGAGCTAGAGTCATTAGCCGAAGTAATATGAAATCAACAGTGTACCTTACACACACATTTTTAAGGTGGTGGCACTTATATTTTCTAATGCATCTATAGATGTAAGAAGTTCCTTTATAGTAAGGTCTATCTTACTATAGAAGGGTTTGTATTTATTCATGTGCTGTTTCAGTTTTCAGCTGGTATGGAGAAAAGATTTTACCACTTGAGAAAACTTTGGAAATTTAAAATCAATTCAGAATATTTTGTTGTATTTTATTAGCAATGGATTATAGTTAAATATTATGAGTTTCATGTAATCATGAACACTTCTCAGACAAAAGCAAAGCAGATCATACTTCTACCTTTACTCTCAAGTGGACCAGGCATTTCTAATGGTATTAATGGCTCAGCCATCCATTACTAGGTAGTGTATGAATATTTTACATTTATAAATCCATGCTTATTGTTCATGAGCATGGGAATGTTTAGCAGGCACATCAGATAAGTATTATTATCATATGAAATATAGCTAGCTTTGAAGAAGGGGTTTCAATTATAGTAATGTAAATTTCTTGAATTATTCTCTTTGTAACAGCTGATGATCTGATGTCATTGCTTAGTGTTTTGTATATTTGAGCTAATTTTAATTTGCCCTCTTCCCAATATATTTTGTATTACTCAAATAGTGATAGTTTTTTAAAATCTAAGGTTAGTGTTCTCTGTTATTATTTTGATTGTTTTTACAGTACTGTCAATCAGTTTTGGAATTGCTTATCAAGCTGTAAAGAAAAAAGTGATCTTTAGATTCATAAACTGTTAAAAAGGAATACTGACTATTTTTGGGGGGTTTCATATAGGACAAGTGTTTAGAAAGTAATTTTTAATAGAAACCTAAGAAATATATTAAAAGGAAACCTCTTTCCCCTCTTTTTGTTTTGCTGGTTTTATTAGAACTTCTGAGAAAAGTTATTTTCTTATTTAAGGGGAAAATGTTTTAAATATGGTATCATTGTTACTGTGTAGCTATATGTATTGGATATTGTCTTATCTTTTTTAGGACATTTTAATTAACTGTCGCCGTGCTGCCACATCTGTAGCTATTTGTCCACCAGTACCATATTATCTTGCTGTTGGCTGTTCGGATAGCTCAGTACGAATATATGATCGACGAATGCTGGGCACAAGAGCCACAGGTAGGGGGATTATAGAGAATATAAAGGACTGTCATTTCAAAGAACAAATCTTTATGAAATTTTCCATTAAAAGTTTTTGTTATAAACTTTCAAGAAATACAACATAGTTAAATAATATAGATTATTGTGTTTCTAAAAAAGCATCAAGTTTTTAAGACCCTTTGGGGATGATACTTTTAGTTTCATTTAAAAAAAAATTCTTTAACACTTTATGTATTAGTTTCCCAAAAATGCCATAATAAATCACCATATAATGAGTCTCTTAAAAGAAATTTATCGTCTTACATTTTTGGAAGCTGGACATCTAGAATCAAGATGTCTCATGTTTTGTTTCTCTTGAAGACTCAGGAAAAATCTGTTCATGCCTCCCCCCCTCTAGATTCTGGTGATTGCTGCCAATTCTTGGCATTGCTTGGTTTGTTGGGTGTATCACTTCAGTCTCAGTTTCCATCTTTACATTCTATTCTCCTCTGTTTTCTGTGTCCAGGTTTCCCTTTTTTTAGGACATGAGCCACATTGAATTTAGGGTCTGTCTAATCCAGTATAATTCATGTCATGTAATTACATCAACCAAGACCCTGTTTGCAAAAAAGATTACATTCTGAGGTTCTGGGTAAACATGAATTTTAGGAGTACTCTGCTGTTTTTCAGTCAAGAGGACTCATGTTAAACATAGTAGGGTAAAAGAAAGATGAGTGACTTGGGTATTTATTATTGTATAGCATACATTTTTGCCTACCTATCTTCAAGTACTATTAGTGATGCTGCAGCATTCTTTTGTTGTTGTTTTGGTGCTGGGAAGTGAACACAGGGGCACTCAACCATTGAGCCCCATCCCCTGCCCCATTTTGTATTTTATTGAGAGACAGGGTCTCAATTAGTTGCTTAGTGCCTCGCTTTTGCTGAGGCTGGCTTTGACCTCGCAATCCTCCTGACTCAGCCTCCTGAGCCACTGGGATTTTAGGCGTGCACCACTGCGCTTGGCTAATCCAGTGCTTTTTCTCCTCATCCAGCATGATATCAGACCACTACTAGAATAAACAATTGAAAGCCAAATTCCATTAGCATTTTCTCAATAAAGGAAGGCCAGAATTAGTTTTAAGCATATACATACATAAACATGAGTATCAAATACACACACACATACACACACACACACACACACACATATATTCACATGTTTTAAACTGTGTGAAAAATAAAGTTGTCCTTGGGCAGAAACCAAGAGTGTCTTTTTTTTTTAACATCATGGGCAGATTTATTTGGGTTTGTTTCTTTGCTTTTGACTCCATTACATACTCATGGAAGGTGGTGAAGTACTCCACCAGGAGAAGTTTGATGTTGACAGACTTCTGGTGACAGCAAGACTATGTCAGCACAATGATGCTAGTATTAATAGATTATGAAATGGGAATATTAGATGAGAGTTCTCCTGTTTTGAACTATGTCCTGTCAGTGTGGGTAGGCATATTTGGGGGAAACAGTAGTAGTAACAGAATATGAAATGGTAGGTATTATTATTATTATTATTTAGTTATAGTTGGACACAGTACCTTTATTTTATTAAAATAAAGCCACAGTCCCAGCCCCTAATTATTGTTCTTAACAGATGGGAAACAACTGACAATTTTGAGCAGGACAGCACTTGATTGTGCACGTTTACATAGCTTTGTGGGGTTCTTGGAAGTCAGTATTCCTGGACCTCTAGGCCACAAAGTACCAGTTGTCCCTCCCTGTCATACCGAATTGTATTAAAGGCTACTGAAGTTGTTAAAATTGGAATCATAAGCTACTTAATATGCTACTAGAGGAAAGTAATTTTCCTGTTGTAGAATTTATGTTATTTTAGTTTGAGGGGAATTTTTGGAAGATGACTTTGTATAACCATGATCATGAACAAATTTATTAAATAACTGATATTTAAACAGAACATTTGTATGATTTGGAATTCCAGATAATCATGAATTTTTTTGTAGATGTTATCTTTATATGGTATTCTTTTTTTGTTATAAACTCTTGAAAAAGCAACCCTATTCTAGATAATAAATGTGATAGCTTTAGATTTATATGGCTACAGTAAATCACATAATTCAGGTTAAGAGTTTTAAGATGTTTTAAATAACACCCTCTTTTCTTAGGGAATTATGCAGGTCGAGGGACTACTGGAATGGTTGCCCGTTTTATTCCTTCCCATCTTAATAATAAGTCCTGCAGAGTGACATCTCTGTGTTACAGTGAAGATGGTCAAGAGATTCTCGTTAGTTACTCTTCAGACTACATATATCTTTTTGACCCAAAAGATGATACAGCACGAGAACTTAAAACTCCTTCTGCAGAAGAGAGACGTGAAGAGGTAGGTTTGCTCAAAACCATATTCTTTATTCAGTTAAGAAAATACTGATTGTGTTATTTCTGAGGCCTAAAAGCCGAATATATACACACAAACATACGTGCATACATATATACATGGATCACTTATAAGGCACTTTGGGTTTAGGGAACAAGAACACAAAACACACCTGAAAGCACAGGGCTAATGAATGCGAAGGTGACTCTAGAGAAAAGTTTTTTTTTTTTTTTTTAATAAAATATTTAAGCCAGGAAATGTGTTGCATACCTGTCTTCCTGGTGACTTGGGAGAATGAGGCCAGCCTGGACAACTTGGTGAGAATCTGTCTCAAACATGAAAAGGGCTGGGGTTGTAGCTTGGTGGTAGAGTGCTTGCCTCATATGCGTGAAGCCCTGGGTTCCATCCTCAGCACCACATTAAAAAAAAAAAAAAAAATTAAAAAATAATGATATTGTGTCCATTAAAAAAAAAAAAAAAAGAAATCGTTTTAAAAAATAAAATTGTTTTCTTTAACCTTGTTAAATTTCTTTCCATATATTGTTTTTCACTTTGGATTTTGTATTTTATAACGTCCCAACTATTCACCCTATAGTTTGACTGGTGAATGTCTTTTGAAATAAACATTGATTTTTATCAGTAGTGATTTAGGTATTGTCACAGTGCCCATTAGGAACATATTTTAAAGGTTACTGAACAGTAGCAATTTTGCAATTCCTATGAGATGCAAAACTAAACTCAGTGTTATTGTTGTTTGCACCAGGGATTGAACCCAGGAGTACTTAACCACCAAATCATATCCCAGCCCTTTTATATATTTTATTAGAGAGCGGTCTCACTGAGTTGCTTAGGGCCTTACTAAATTTCTGAGGCTGGGTTTGATCTCTGAATCCTCCTGCCTTGGCCTCCTGAGTCCCTGGGATTACAAGCATGCACCACCGTGCCCAGCTAAACTCAGTTTTTCTAATTTCTTTATAAATCTGTTTTAGGATTTTAAATGTGAAAGTGCATTGTGTGAATTAGAAAGTTGACAAAGAAGGAGGGTATGTATGATGGCTAATGAAAGTTATTTATGAGTTTATTGGACTTGTTGAAAACACAGAATCTGCCTTGTCATTCTGTTGTTGCTTCTAACTTTCCCCTTGCAATATGTGGGTAAGTTACAGTCCAGCTTTGCACCTGTAAGATGACTGGAGAGTTGGAAGTGCACAGATCTGTAAGTGGGCCAACCGGCTCGACTGCCAGAGTCCTTGGCCTGAAGATACTTGTGTCATCAGAGTGAGTGAGTGGTGCTGAGTCATGAACAGGTTCTTTTCCTCAACATGTTTTTCTCAGTAGTCTTTGTTGAATTAACTAAATAAGAAAAACAATTCTAAAATTGGAGTAAAATTATAAAAAAACCAATCCTACTTATAACAAAGTAAATGATTAGAGGATGTATATAGACAGAATTAATGATTCTTCCTGTTAATTTCAAATTTTATACTAAACCCTGACAGCAGTATTGAGACCAACTATTCTTACCTCACCAAAGGTTTATTGGGTGCCTACTGTACACAAGTTCTACATTCTACTCTGGAGAATTAAGGAGGACTGCGTAGGCATGGCCCTTACTCAGGGAGTTTGTTATCCAGTGAAGTATGCATATAAATAAATACATAAGAAATTGAATTCTAAAACTCAAATAGTAAAATTGTATTTATAACTACTGTGTTCTGTAAAAGAAGAAAAAGGGAGAAAATAATTGAGTGAAAACATGAGTAAAGGCAGTTTTTAAAGCATGAATAATAGTTTCTGATTTGTTTTCCTTTGTTTCCATATATTTGTGTATTTCTTAATTTGTTGGGGCCTCTTTATTTCCTCATGCCTTCTAAGAATTTTATATTTTGTATTTTTTTCCCTCAGTTTTATTTTTGCATTTTTTCTTTTTATCGTCTTTCTTCTTTTCCTCCAGTATCTTTTTGGCATTTCCCTGCCTGATGAACTTCTTTTTTGAATCCATTCTCTCCTTTTCTCCTGTTATTGGCAACCTTTCTCTGAAAATATATCCCAGAGGACTACTGCTTACCGTCCCAGCCACATTACTGCCATGATGACAGGCATGAAAGTCTTTTTCCTCCATCATTTGTGTGGCTTTCTAACCAGTCTTTCTACTTTCACCTGCACGGTCCTTTAGTTACACAGCAGCCTCGTGATCTTTGAGACATGGGCCATGTTGTGTTGCTTTTCTGATCAGTGTGCCAGTGGCTCCCCATCTCCCAGCAAAGCCACGCTGAGGTCCTTTAAGACCTTATATTAAAAGTGCACATTTCTGCTCTTATTGATCTTGGCTCTACCCACATCCACCTACTTAGCAGCAGACAGGCTGAGCATGCTTCTGCCTTTGCGCTTTGGTATTTGCTCTCCCTGAAATGCTCCTTCCCACATACCTGGGTTTTCCAAACCTCTGTGTTTATCAGGTCTTTGCTGTGACCATCTTCTTAGGGGTCATAATCTGCTCAAGAGGAGAGTAAATTCTATGACAATGGGAATTTTTTTCTATTTTATTCATTGTTTTTTTTCTGGATCTGGAATAGTACTCTTTTTTTTTTTTTTTAAAGAGAGAGTGAGAGAGAGAGAGAGAGATTTTTAATATTTATTTTTTAGTTATCTGCGGACGCAACATCTTTGTTTGTATGTGGTGCTGAGGATCGAACCCGGGCCGCAGGCACACCAGGCGAGCGCGCTACTGCTTGAGCCACATCCCCGGCCCTGGAATAGTACTCGCTCCAAGATCTATAACAGTAAATTTTCTAACATCTATAATAGTACATAAAAGGTGATCAAAAATATTTGTTTACTGACTGAATAAATGTTGTGCCATTTCAGTCCTCTTGACTAGGTTATTTTGCATATTCTTCTCCATATCAGACTTGTTATTTTTAATTTGAAAAGATTTTGTTCTAGGGCTAGGGTTGTAGCTGAGTGGAAGAGTACTTGCCTAGCATGTGTGAGGCACTGGGTTCGATTCTCAGCACCACATACAAATAAAATAAAGGTCCATCAACAACCAAAAACTATGTTTTAAAAAAAGATTTTGTTCTTGTAATGCAAAAAAAAAAAAAAAGATTTTGTTCCAAAAATAAATTATAATGTTGGTCCTTTGCTTGCATATTCTACATATAGTTCTTCCAAAGGGTGAGGCCTTCTTTTCGGAATAATTGAGCTTTTGGACTGTTGCCACACTGATCTTCCCCTGTTCTAGATAAACCTGAAGTCTCCTGTGTAGATTTTATGATTTTTCAGTCGTTCTTTGCCATACTTTCACATGATGTGGCTTTTGTGGGATGTACTTTTTTTTTGTCTCATTTGCTGGAGATGTTAGCAATCCACTTCACCCCATTCTTGTTGCTTGGTTTGGTGTCCAGGAGAAATCAGAAAATCTACAATTAAGCTGTCACTAAGGTTTTAAAATAAAACCTCCTTAATCGTGAGGGGGGTGGGAATCAATGTTATTTTATTTATTTGTCTGTTTTCTTTTCTTTGTGCTAACGATTATATCAGGGCCCAACACATGCTGGACAAGTGTTCTATGAATGATCTACATCCCCAGCCCTTGACTGTTATTTGAAAGAATAAAATAAAAATAAAGAGAGTACATAATGAGAGAAAATGTTTCTAAATTAAAACTCTGATTAGATTGTAGAATCCAGAATGTATAAAGAATTTTACGAAAATGGGTAAAGAATTTAAATAGACTTTTTTTTTTTCCCCTAGAGAAAATACACAAGTAAGTGGCCGATGAGCACATACTGAGGTATTCAGCAAAGCTAGTTATCAAGGAAGTGCAAATCAAAACCAGAGTCAGGCATCACTTCACACACATCAAGATAGCTAAAACCAAAAGGGAAAAAAAAAAAAAAAGACAAACAATAACAAGTTGGTGAGGATGGGAAGAGGTTGGAGCCCTTATACTCTACTGGTGGGAAGGTAAAATAGTGTAGCTGCTTTGGAAAAGGTTAGTAGTGCCTAAAAAATTAATGAGTTATCCTGTGACATACATATTGGTTATTTATTATTCATGAATAATGGCACCATTATTCAGAATAGCCACTAAGTGGAAATATCAATGTCTTATCAGCTGATGAATGGATAAACAAAATATGTTATATCCATAGGATGGAATATTATTCAGCTATAGAAATGAATGAAATATTGATAAGTGTGAATGAAATATTGTGTCAGAAACCTTGCGGGGGCTAGGGTTGTGGCTCAACAGTTGAGCACTCGCCTAGCACGTGCAAGGCCCTGGGTTCAATCCTCCGCACCACATAAAAATAAATAAACAAAATAAAGGTGTTTTTAAAAAAGAAAAAAGAAAATCTTGGAACCATTATGCTAAGTGAAAGAAGCCAAGTACACAAGACCTTATGTTGTATGATTCCAATTATATGAAGTGTCCAGAATACACAAATCAATAGAAAGAGAAAGTAGATTAGCAGTTTCTAGGAGCTGAGTTGAATTGACAGGTGTGGACTGGCTGCTAATGGGCATAAGGTTTCTTTCTGGGATGATGAATATGTTCTGGAATTAGATAGTGACAATAGTTGCACACCTTTGTGAATATACATTCAGATTGTAGACTTTATAAAATGTTGAGCATTATAGTACGTGACTTGTGTTGCAATGTAAATGTTAAGAAATGTAGAAGTTAAAGGAGTTCTCAGATGTGTCAGGTGCAATGAACGTGTCAGGTAGTCACTTAAAGGTGCCATTTGACCTGACACTTAATTATTAATCATATTGTTATCACTTTTATCATAGATCTGTGAACTTGCCGAGTGATCCTTTCATTGGTGATCTTGGTAGAGTGAAATCAGTGGGAACATTGACTGCAGTATTGAGGAAGGAATGGTAGATGAAGTGAATGTAGACTTTTCGCAAGAAGCTTCAGAGTAGAGTTAAAAGCAGGAAAAAGAACTCTAGCTGGGGAGAAATATAAAATTGAGGGGGTTTTTGTGTATTTGAGAGAACAAGGTGAAAGGAGACATACAGATGTAGAATAGAGAGGATAATTATTGAAGTGAGTTTGAGGATTTGGAGAAATAAAAAGCACAAGTGGAGAGATTAGGCTTAAACAGAGTAAATGATCCTTACCTTGGGGAAGGTTTGAAGTAGTTAAGAAGGTGTAGATAAAGGACAAATTTATAGACTTAAGCTAAGGAAATAGATACATATTTCTACAGGGCTTTCTTTATGTTTTTCTGAAGTAGAAGGAAAAGTTATTATCCAAAAATGAGGGCAGCAAGTTGGAGTAGAAAGTTGAGGAGTGAAACATCTTTGATATAGATGCTGGTGGAATTGGAGAGTGAGTTGTCGAGACTAAGTGAAAACAGTAGCTCCTGTCGTTGGGTGAGTGTGCTTTACCTAGACTCACCTGCAGGACTGAGGCACACAGTTCACTTACTTTTGTCAGCTTGAAGGTGAGGGAGGCAGGAGTAGAAATCACACGTACATGATATCAAAGTTACCTTCAGACTTTAGGTTGAAGAGATTTAGTAAAAACTGTCAGCATCACCAGATGTTTACCATCATGAATACTGCAAAAGACTGATGTCATTTATATCAGGGTTTCATTTTGATTTGGCATCTCATTTCCATACTGAATAAAGAAGGTAAGAAGACGGCAATAATCTGTTAGACTTAAAGTATGCTTTGTGAATTGAGGGTGGGAGGTACAGCTCAGCGGTAAGCATTTCCCTAGCATGCATAGGCCTGGGGTTTGAGAGCAAATGTCCCAGCACAGGGACACGGGGAGTTGAGAGCAAATGAGCTTTCTTTTAGACTTAACTTTTTATTGTTAATTTTTAGTTACGACAACCTCCAGTTAAGCGTTTGAGACTTCGTGGTGACTGGTCAGATACAGGGCCCAGAGCAAGGCCTGAGAGTGAACGAGAACGAGATGGTAACTATACGTTGGTCAGCTTTTTTGGGGGGTATATGGTATTTTAAAAATTAATATTGTAACTCAGTTCCAACTTTATCACTATTATAAAGGATGCTACAGTGAACTTCTGGTACATCTCTCTTGGTGTGCTTGTGTAGATATATCTTAGAATAAATTCCTATAAGTAGAATGGCTGAAGAATAGCATTAGAACATTTAATTTAGATAGTTATCAAATGACTCTCCAAAAATGTTGCACTAATTTGTATTTTTACTAAAAATATAAAAATGCCCATTGAGCTTAGAACATTGGGTATTATCAGACAATTTTTACTTTCTGTTAGATACAAAGATGAATGGAAATTCTCAAATTTGTAATATGAGAGTTTTATAATAGTATATCCATCTTTCTTTCTTTCAAGTGCCTTTTATAAGTGCAAAAAAATACTTTGGGAGATTTAAGATGGCACACTTTAGAGCAGGGCAGAGTGGCACATAACTGTAATCCCAGCAACTTGGGAAGCCGAGGCAAGAGGATCACAAGATCAAGGCCAGCCCTGTCAACTTAGCAAGACCATTTCCAAAAGGGGGGTGGTGAGAGTGGGAATATGACTCAGTGATAAAATACTTCTGGGTTTAGTTTCCAATATAAAAACTAGAAAATGAAGGCTCACTTTAGAATAATCTGAGAGTATTATATATTAATTGAGTCTTTGGCCAAAATATTACTCTAATGACTTCTAAAACTCATGATTAAAAGTATGTTATTTTGTATATTATCCTCAATATTATTTTACAATACATATTTAAATGTGAAGCTATATAATATAAAGTGCAGAAGTCTAAATCCATAGAAAACTTAAGAACAAATGTTAAATGACTTGACTGTAGAATAGAGTTGTCATGTTTTAAATTTGATATCATACTTTAAGTTTTAAAATGCCCCTAAGAAGACTTGTTTATTTAACATGGTGAAAGGAGTAAAGGAAGAGACACAATACTTTCTGGTTTCAGCTAATTTTAAATATCCAGAATTTGCTTATAAAATGATGAAAATTTAGTTTTTAGGAAAATTCATGCAAAAGCCCAATTCCACTTATATCTGTTTGATGATAATGCTCTAGTAAGAGGAAAAGCCATTTTTCAGTCTGTTTAACTTAGAACTCACGAGCCCTTTCTAGCAAGGCACTCTTACTTAGACTTAAAGCTGTAGATAAATTAGGATAAGGGTGGGAGATGTGGAGGTACCTAAGAATAGGAAAATATGAAGGAGATGCAAACCATATTTTTCACTGGAAGCATATTTCAGATATTGGAAATTAGCTGGAGCCAGAAGGTATTTTGGTTCTTCCCTCCCTGCTTGTTCTCTTGCAAATAAAAAAAGGATTTTTCCATACATAGGGAAAGTCACTCATACAATTGCTATAAATTGCAGTGAGAGCTTTCATGGATATTTCAGTATTCCTATAATTTATGTAGGTAAGTTGATTTTTTTTAAATTGCTTGCACTTTAAAGCCTTCAAATCTAGGTTTTTGTGTTAGTAAAAGCGCCTGACTGATTAGTAAAATCCCTAATAAGGTTCATGTTCTAATAGGAGAGCAGAGTCCCAATGTATCACTGATGCAGAGAATGTCTGACATGCTGTCAAGATGGTTTGAAGAAGCAAGCGAAGTTGCACAGAGCAATAGAGGCCGAGGAAGGTCTCGACCTAGAGGTAATTTTTCTTATTAATTATAAGCATCAGAAAGCTGGCAAAAGCTGCTTATGAAATCCATTTATTTATATCATCTAAGTTATACTGTTTTATATCTATAATAACCATAAGGTTTGTATAGTTTGTCCTTTCCAGTTACGCCAAATCTACCCTTTATTTTGTTTTTCTCAAAAAAACAAAATAGAGAAGATTCTGAAATTCCTCATTGTTAAGCCCTTTTTAAGTGTACTTTGAGAATGGAAATATGCAAGATTCTATGAGCAAATTTTTATATCATTGAAAAGATTGATTAGTTTAACAGGAATGTGTTGTAGATGGATTTTTTTTTTTAAACCTCACTACTAAACCTATTTGGTCAAGTGAACCATACCACAGTGGCTGTTCTGGTATTCTAAAATTATAAAATTTGTGTGTGCTTTGCAGTGTGTGTGTATTTCATGAATGCATCTTTTGAAATTGTTGATTTATTAAAGCATTCAATATTTGAGTTTGCACTAACCTGTTTTTGGAAGGTGGAACAAGTCAGTCAGATGTATCGACTCTCCCTACGGTCCCATCGAGTCCTGATCTGGAAGTGGGTGAAACTGCAATGGATGTAGATACTCCAGCTGAACACTTTCTTCAACCTTCTACATCTTCTGCTGTGTCCGCTCAGGTTCATGCAACATCCTCTTCTACAGAAAGCCCTCATTCTACTTCTTTGCTGTCATCTCCAGACAGTGAACAGAGGCAGTCTGTTGAGGCATCTGGACACCATACACATCATCAGTCTGGTGAGGATGTTACTCTTCAAGTAGGCTGTTGTTCCTCTCTTGATTTCTGATAATGGAAACTTTACAGGTTGTTTTGAAAGATACTAAATCACACCAACTTCTTGCTGGAATAAATGATCAAAATGACATACAGTGTATGAACATGTGACCTAAACACAAAATTCAAGTTTGCCTAACTTGTGTAAATTTTAACACATAGCAAGAATCTTCAGTTTACACATAACAGTTTTGAAAAAAAATATGTACCAACAGGTAGAGTTTTGGCATAGTTTAATGCATTTCATTTAAAGATTATTTACAAATCATTATAAACCAAAATATCTTTCTAGATTTATTTGGTTGTGTATGTATATTAAAGAGATAGTAAAAAATGTAGCTTGTTGTTATTAGTTCTGTGGTTTTATATTCTTGATTATTTTTTCTTCAAATCATGAAATACTTTTAGTATGCTTTCTGTTGGATATGGTCTCTTGTTAACAACACAATATGCTTAAAAAAAATGTTTCTCCAATACATTTATGTAAAAAATAAGTATTTTACTAAATCCTTATCTTCTTGACACTTAATGCTATTGAAAATAAATCCATTCCTGAATTGTTTAAATACCGTTTTTTTCTCTTCTATGAAATGTACAGTATTTAAATAGTAATTTTCAATAGATATGGATATAGTTTAGTTGAGATTTTAACTAAATACATGTAGTCATAATAACCAATAAGATGTTTATTTTTTTTTTTTTAAGGTTTTCCTAAAGAAGCATTTTACTTGATATTGAGCCAAAAGTATTAGCAAGAGATACAGCTGGTGGGCCAAGCTGAAACCTATAAAAATTCGTAACAGCTTCACTGCCAAGCTGTCACTTTATTCTTGCTTCTCTAAAAACTGATGCCAGATCACCATATATGGGATGTTTTAAATTGAGCACTATTTTTCAGTATATCCCATTTATAGTAATTCATTTTCAGTTTCTATGGAAATAGAAGCCAAGTCAATTACATAACTGTTAACAGTATGTACATTTTATCCATGATAAAAGCTAAAGATGACCTACAAAATTAGTTTTTCCACGTTTTGATTGATAGCATTTCAACGAAAGGGCAAGTAGAGTATTTTGTTGGGTTTGAGACCTAGGGCAAAAGAAGTTAAAAGTTTTTTTTCCGAAGCAGGTAAATTGGTAAAAGCAAAAATTTTTAAAGTGATAGCATTCTTGGATATATTTGTAAAGAGTTTGATGAATTACAAGTTATCAGGAAAACTTAGCAAGAAGACTATCTGATCCATGCTCAGGTGCCAATGAGTCTTACCTAACTCATTATGATTGTTTATTCAACACATTTATGAGTTAAATATTTTGGGGCTTCATTCTAAAACTTTTTTTTCATGGATAAGTAACATACATTAATACTGTATTTCAAATTGCTAAGCTCCTTTTAGTAAAAATACTAGTCATTTGAATCGCTGAAATAATTTTTTTTTGTTGATCGTCATTAGAATATTGCTTAGCACCTTTGCCCATAAATTTTTCAGAGAGCAAGGAAATAAATGTTCTTAAGTGAGAGATTTTTGGTTGACTAAACTGTGGATAATTAAAATATTTTAGTGATTCTGAAATAGACTATTAAAGAAAATAATTTGATATTAAATATAATATCTAAAGGTTATAACTGTAATTGTTCTGACAGTAGCCCTTTGGTTTTTCGCAGAGTTCAATATTTCAGCAGTAAGAACTTAATGGGTTTTGTTTTGTATTATGTTTGCTTTTTTGCACAATCACTTTACATGTAAAAAGATTATCAAAGTCCAGATAGTTTTATAGATATGGGGAATTGTCCGTTGGGGGACTATAGTAGTGGAAATTTCAACATAGAGCCAGGATTCCTGTTAGTACCTTGGATAGAGACAGAAAATAAAAACAAGTATGTTTCTGTCTGCACTTGCTTTGCTGCAAAGACTATGTAAATGTTTATCCCTTTCCTTCATATCCCTTGCATTTCCAATATTGAAGGAAAGGGACAGTGTGAAAAATTGCCAGGCAAAACTCCACAGTGGTTGAACCCTAATTTTTTGGTTTTCTTAGTGTACAACTTAATCTATGGTGGTGAAGAAAGTCATGACCAATTTCAGGGGGTATCCCACAAGGTGGGTCTGAGAAGTCAACACTGTTGCCGTCCAACTACACAAAATGACTATTTACCCCTTCCCATCTCTCAAATTTAGCACTCCATGCATCCTTGACCCACCCTCAGCTGGTAACTTTTCATTCACAGTGAAAAGAAATGCACTCATTTTCCTGCTATTGAATCTCCCAGCTTTCCAACATCTGTGTCACATTATCTGTGGTAGAAGCAGAAACACATTTGGGAAGAAATGTTTCTTTTCCTGTCAAGTGCTAACTGTTGCAGTTCCCATCCCTTTACAATTTCTCAAGGACTTTGTTCCTCCCACATCATTATTTCCTGTTCTGCTGAATTCTTCCTTTTGGCCTCAAACATGTTTTTGTCTCCTTTCTTTAAAAGATCCACTCTTAAGAATTCGATATTTCCTTATAGCCACTTTACTGCCTTGTGTCTCAGCCCCTTTTATAATTATGGTCCTCAAAATTGCTTACATATACTGCTTTCATATTCTTATGCATTTATTCACCAACCAACTGAAATCTGCTTTTTAAAGTCGTCCTTCTCTGAAACTTTATTTTTATCAAAGCCACAAGTGACTTCCATTTTGCCAGATTTACAGGATACTTCCCTGTTAGTATCTTCATAGATTTTGTTTGACACAGTTTCATTTCAGAGTCTGTCACTTCTTTCTTGGAACATTCTCCTTCTTGGCATTGATGACACCACATTTGCCTGTTTTACTGATAGGTTGTGTCTCGTTTTCAGTAACCATCATTCTGAGTGTCTTATCTACTTCTTGTCTACCCCCTGGTCCTGGCTCTCTTGTTTTTTCTATATACTCTCTATTCCTAGGTGATTCTATCCATTCTCCATTGATATTAACGATGCCTCTAAGTTTATAACTCTCAAAGTTATATCAATAGTCTGATCTTATACCTTGAGTTCCAGCCTCCTGTGTGCAATTGCTATTATTATTTTTTTTAATATTTAGTTATAGGTGGACACAATATCTTTATTCCATGTGGTGCTGAGGATCGAACCCAGTGCCTCACACGTGCTAGGCGATCGCTGTACCTCTGAGCCACAACCCCAGCCCCGGTAATTTTTATTTTATTTTTTATTTTATTTATTTATGTGTGTGTGTTTGTGTGTGTGTGTGTGTGGGGGGGTGTGCTGGGGATTGAACCCAGGTCCTTGTGCATGTGAGTCAAACACTCCACCAACTGAGCTATATTCCCAGCCCTATAATTGCTATTTTTAACACTTCTTTTTGATTATGTTTAGACATCTTGAATTTAATCAGTTCTGCTGAAACTTTATTCAGCCTTCTACCTTTTCTGACACCAAATCAGTTCCATCTTAGTTCATTTATGACTAAATTATAATGCTACCTATTTGCTTATTTTAATAGGCCATGAGTTATTTATTCTCTCCTCTCCTTCATGTCTTATACCCAGTTCATCAGCAAGTCCTATTGGTTCTGTTTATAAAATATTTTTACTTCCTTTCCTTTTACCATAATTTCTTATCTCCTTGCCATCTACTTTGTTTCCTTATAAGTTATTATCCATGGAGCAGCCAGAATGAGTATTTTAAAATATTAATCAGATTATATAATTGCTGTTTAAAATCTATCAAACTCTTTGTTGTGGACCTATAAGGATCTACATGGCTTTCATCTGATTCTACTTTCTCAGTCCAAGATGAGATGTTCCAAACATACTGATTTCCTTTCATTTCCTTTGATGTGTCAAATTCTCTTCTGCCCCTGTCCTTCTTTCTGGTTCTGAACCTAAATTGTTACTGTTCTCAGTACCTGGGAAGTCTACCCCATAGCTTATCACATGGCCAACTTCTTTTTCCTTAGGTCTCAGTTGAACTACTATCCAAGAGAGATCTTTTGTAACCGTCCTAGATAGAGTCCTTTTACTCTCTGTAAATTTTTACACTCCTTTCTATTACCCTGTTTTATTTCCTGAATAGTACTTACAAATTTTTCTAATTATTTCATTTTGACTGATTTGTTTATGACATTTCTTTTACTGGAATATGCTCAAACAAAAACAGGGACATGTCTTATCTCTAATGTTTTTGAGTGTGTCCCTCCAACCCCTACAATAATAGCCATTCTATCTATGAGAATTTAGTTATCTTTAAATTGGTCTAGCAGAGTATAGTCTATTTAGTGTTATTTTGATGATACCTAGGAGAGATGCTACGATTAGGTATCCAGTTATCATTTTGGATCCATTATCTTCCCTGCACTGCCTAGGCCATATTTAAGACTGTGTAGAGGGGCTGGGGTTGTGGCTCAGTGGTAGAGCGCTTGCCTAGCGCATGTGAGGCACTGGGTTTTATCCTCAGCACCACATGAAAATAAAGAAATAAAATATTGTGTCCATCTACAGCTTAAAAAAAAAAGACTGTGTCGAGCCAAGCCTGGTGGCAAATGCCCATAATCCCAGCAGCTCAGGAGGCTGAGGCAGGAAGCTCAAGAGTTCAAAGTCAGCCTCAGCAAAAGTGAGGCGCTAAGCAACTAAGTGAGATCCTGTCTCTATATAAAATACAAAACAGAGCTGGGGATGTGACTCAGGGGTCGAGTTCCCTGGGTTCCATCCCTAGTACCAAAACCAAATAAATACAAATTTTCTAAACATTACACACATTTATATATTATGTATATTTGTGTATACATTTTTTAAAAGATATAACGTGTATTTCTATGTCTGTTAAGCATACTGTTTATTTAGTTAATTGGTGAGTTCCTTTCCTAGCCTCGTTAAAAAAAAAAAAAAAAAATTAACCTAAGGGAGAAAAATGCCACCAATTAGCCTCAAAAAAAAAAAAAAAAAAAAAAAAAAAAATTCTCCTTTAAATAGCACT